CCGCAGCCCGCCCCCTTCCATGGCAACTCCCGCTGCCTCCCGCCCACCACCACCGTCGCCGCTTGCAAGCTGCACTCGTTGTTGCTTGCTAGCTGCCACTCGCCTCTGCCTCCACTCTTTGCTGCTAGTCGTCGACGCCGTCACCGACCGCTACCTTCTGCGCCACCCGTTGTTCGACGCCGCCTGCTACTGCTCGCCGCCTCCTGTCGCCGTCCACATCTCTTTCCCCAAATAAAAACATTGTTTTCAATCAATTTCAAAAAACAAAAAAATCTTAAGTTTATTTTACGGTAAACTAAACAACTCGAAAGTATTTCAAATATATTGCAATCATAAAATCTTTTATATTGCATCTTTTTTTAGTGAGAAAAATTACCCCTAAATCTATTTTTTTTCTTGAGCATTTGGAGCAGCTTTTTAGGTGTGGAGCGATAGCTAAACAAAATTTTGGGTGTTAGAAAAAAGCATTGTTGCGGATTTTTGGGATTATTTGAGTAAACTACATTTTGTTTATGAGTTCGACTTCCCTACCCTCACATTTTTTTCGATTGTGTGACCCCATCGTCTTTCTTTCGCAATTGACTGTCCTAGCTCATCCTCCTCTCCCCCCCTAACTGTGGTCGGTGATTCCGGTGGCATCTCTCTCCTCATTCCTTGCTCCATTCTCTCTGGTATCATGTTTTGGTGGCACTCTTCCATTGCTTTCTCACGATATTCTCTACCCTACTTTATTATCGTTAATATTTTGGGTTACGGTTTGAGGTTTGCTCTGTGCGGAATGCTCCTTGTGATTTTTGGCCTTAGTCTAATTGCAGTTTTGTTTTTCGTTGTTTGTGCGGTCTTTATGATTTGTGGTTTTGGCCTTTCTCTGTTGGAAGGGATCTATGAGTTTTTTTTGTGTTTTCTTATTCTCTATGTTATATGTTAGAATGATTTATGTGAATGGGATGATTTGAGGTCATATACGAATGCTGGCGATTCACGGTCTATTGTTCGATTTAGTGATTTGTTGGCCTTTGCTGGAAAGTTTTTTTTTTTGCCTACTGTATCTTGCTCAGCCGAGGCTCTTCCCTCTATTTTATTGGTCAATTGGATCAAACTTTATGCTCTACTCGTCGGTTCATTCTTGTTAGTGGTTTCCCTCTTTGTTGGATTAAGTAATGCTGTGTTGGTGGTGATGTTTATAGTGGTGATGTGGGTGATAATTTTGTGTCACTGTGGTGGTGCTATTGGTATTGTGGGTGGTGCTTTTTTGCCCTGGTGGTGGTGATGTGTCATGGTTGTTGTGTTGTTGGTGGTGATGTTGTGCCATGTTGGTTATGATGATGTGTCATGTTAGTGGTGTTTTTTGTAGTGGTGGTGTTGGTGATACTTTTGTGCCACCATGGTGGTGTTGTTGATGGCGTGAGTAATGTTTTTGTGCCACAGTGATGGTGTTGTTGGTGGTGATGTTGTGTCGTGTTAATGGTGTTGTTGGTGATGATGTTGTGTCATGTTGGTGGTGTTGTTGGTGGTGATGTTGTGCTATCGCGGTGGTGTTGTTGGTGGCATGTGATGTTGGTTGTATATGGGTGATGAAGGTAGTTTTTTTTTGTGATATGGTGGTGGTATTTTTCGTGGTAATATTTGTATTGGTGTTGTTCGTGATGGTTTGTTTATGCAATTTTGGTCGTGTTATTGATGGTTATGTGTCATAGAGTTGGTGTTGTTGGCGGTGATGTTGATAGTGATTTTTCTGTGCCATGTTGGTCGTGCTGATAATGGTGATGGTGTTGTGTTTGGTTGTTTGTAGTGATTTTTTGGTGACATAGTTGCGGCGGTGTGTGTGTATGTCGGTGGTGATTTTTTTTGTGACATGGAGGTGGCAGTGCTCGTGGTTTGTTGTGATGTTCCCTTTCAGTTACCTCTTTGAGTTGTGGTATTTTAAATGACACTTTATTTTTTTCTCTACTATATTGTTGACCTCATTTTATATAAAATCTAATTTCTCTTCTTTATGAGCCTAGGGTCTAGCCATATGACTTTCCTGTTGACTATCCTAGAGAACTTAGTAAATAGAGCCCTCCCACATAAAAAATCCAAACACTTCTTTAATCCTCTCGTGAAGTCTCATCTGGGTGGTTACAAGCCCCCAAATGTCATTTAGGATGGTCAAGACCAACATGTGGAGCAACATGTGGAGACTTGAGAGTGAGAGTGAGTTCCTATAGGTTTAATCATGCCTTAGGACAACCTTAGGTGACTTGGTCTTGGTCTCAACCTCACACACCCGCAAAACCCTAAAATCACATTGTACCTAACCTATCTCCCAATTTTTTTTAGAGACTCATATGGGTGGTCCTAGGTCCTTAGCTTTTGACTAGGACGCCAGAACCAACATGTGGATGATAAAAACTGAGCTCACCCACGGGTATCATAACATTTTCCATGACTTGTATGATCACCATGTCCAATGAGCCTAATTCCACCAAAACTCCCAACTTTGGCTTTTTACCCCTAAACTTGTTTCATATCTTATTTTACTAATAAGTGTACTTTCAATGTTCATTTGTGTTAATATCTAATCAAACTCCACATTAAAAATGAGACTTTTTTTGTATAATTTAATTATTTAATAAACTAGCTCATAAATATCTTATATCTTAATGCATTTATTTCATTATCACAGAGCACAAGTTCAACTTGTTTTTGTATTCATCAAATCATCCGCGAGTTAGTTAGGCTATACAACTTTCATATTCATTGGAAAATTTACTTGCACCCCTCAAAATTCTTATGTATTTACATATCTAACACATAAAAATTTGATATTTATACTTATAACACATTGCTGTAAAAAATAATGCATGAAAATATGCATATTTTACTTTCAAAATGTTAACAATTATGATATTTTTTTATGTGACGTTAAACTTTTTAATATTATGCATGTAAATATGAACATTTAGGTTTTATATAAATACATAAGAATCATTTGGTATCTATGTTAACACCCCTACTTTATTAGATAAAAATTAATTTAATAAATTATTATACAACAATTTCTTTCTTCTTCAACAAGCATGTTATATTAACATAGGGCTCATTTTATTTACCAAAAAAGAATGCAAATTTTAAATATATATAATTTAACAGAATAAAATACATTTAAAATAATTTATATTTGGTGATTATGTACCCAATAATGCAAACAATTAACTTTTTTTGTATTTGGGTTGAGGTAAATGGACTGGTAACAGTTGATGGCGGACCAGTGGATGATGGTGATGAATAGAAAAAATATTGCGTCTGGACAACAGACACGATGCACGGATCATATAGGAGAATTTTTTTTCCTCCAATGCATCTCACGCACGATCCGTGCATCGCGTCCGTTGAAAGGACGCAGCTTACGTCTCGACTTTCGACGCAACATTTTTTCGATGACTAGGGATGTTAGGATACTGGTAACAACGATAAGGGATACCAAATGTGATCAATGATAGTCGGCTATCCATGGGCAACGAAGCAAGCGCAACAACTTCTTCATTTCATATAGAAATCCGCCAAATTCTCGGATTCCAATTAGATCAAATTTGGACCAAAGAGTGAATAATTAATTCAACAAAATTTTATTGTGTTTATTTTCTTCCAAATAAATGTTGAAAATCGGAATTCTCATCTTTTTAATTTGTATAAATTTATTTATTTATTTTATAAATACCATGGAAAGAATAGATATCAATTTAGATGCAAACCACGCAATTGTCATGTATTGGTATATTTAATACATTTCTATTTTTATTTATATTAAAAATTTGGAGTCATAAACTTGTAACAAAAATACTTATCAATTTTTAATATGTAGTAATACTGATATTTTTGATAGGATATCAAAAATTTGATTGATTATATTTATATATATATATATATATATATATAAATACTTTTTAAAAATGTGGTTGTAAATTTGTAGTGGAAAACTTCTTAGAAAGCTGCTGTGTTAATTATAAATATATATTTTTCCCAAAAAAGACATATTCCTATCACATTTCTAGAAAAAAATAAAAATATTATTCTCCAAATAAAAATGTGATGGTTGTCTCAGACGCAAAGTTGACAAAGAATATTTCATAAATGGGAGGAAATATTACGTCTGCAGTCTAGACGTAGACTCGATCATGGAGTATAATACTATTGTATTGAAGGTTTTTTTTTCAGGACAATTATGTTGTACCAAGTAAGAGAAAGTACTCATATAAATAATTTGATGAGAAAAACAGAGAGTACAACATTTAGTTGTACATAAAGAAAAACTTTAAATACAATCATGTTATATTTCAAGACCGTCATTAGCTCCAGACTTATTTGCTTCTCTAAAGAGTGCTAAGTGGCCATGCATGTGGTACTGGTACATACTCAAATAAAATGTAATATGTTAATGTCATTTTTAAGGGTGGTCTACATAGCAAGGTTGTAGCTTTTTAAAAATGTGGTTCTAAATTTGTGAGGTAGGAAACAACTTCTTAAAAAATTTTGGTGAAAAAAAAAAACATTATATATATATTTTTCATAGTCTGACAGAGGGGCGGACCGCATTCTAGAAAGTTGTGCAATTCGATCATACGTAGAGATTGAACCCTCAACCCGAGGGACTTACACCAAAGATCACAACCAATAAGTTAGGCTAAAACACAGACATATATACATATATATCCAAAAAAAAAAACATCATTTTTCTTACGGCCATCACATTTTAAGAGGTTGGATTGAAAAAAAAAAACAAAATTCCTTCACCTAAATTTCTAAAAAACAATAAAAATATTTTTCTCCAAATAAAAGTATGATGGTGGTCTCAAAGGCAAATCAAACAAAGAAATGTATAATAAATTAGAGAAAATACTACATCTAAAGTTTAGACACAATTATATTAGAAGTCTTTCTTTAATACAATTATATTGTGAGGCTTCGTTGCTATACAATGCATGCGGTCCTGGTGATTATTCGTGGAAGAATGGGGACCACCGCAGCTAATATTCCTTCCGATTCTCGAAGCTCTCCTGATTGACCATGTTTTTCTACCATTCCTGTCACCAGCAAGCCGTCACTTTACCCCGCCCGGCATCGTTGAACAATTCTTTAATTCTTACTCGGCTAAGAAATAAAAAAGCTATGTCATCCTAATTTACGATAAACCAGTTTAATACTGAAAACGTAATCATCAGGAACTTTCTTCGTTCGTTCATAATTAAAAATCTCATTTTTATTTCTATAAATTGCGTTCATCCTATCCCCCTTCAAATTTACATTACTAAAAAGTACATTTCATCGATCTTCCTTCCCTATGTCGCCCACCATGAGCGTCGAAGCCGATGACTGCAGCCCAAACACCAAAAGCCTCCACTTTCTTCTCGTCCCTCTCATGGCGCAAGGCCATATGATCCCCATGGTCGACTTAGCCAGACTCCTTGCCGTTCGCGGCGTCCTCGTCTCCTTTGTCACAACCCCTGTCAACCTAGCTCGCATCCAGCCCATCGCCGACCAGGTTTCAGCCTCCTCCCTCCCCATCCACTTCATCGAGCTTCCCTTCCCAGCCACAGACGTCGGCCTCCCTGAAGGGTGCGAAAACGCCGATCTCATCCCCTCCGCCGCCTTCTTCCTCACATTCATGAACGCCCAATCCCTCCTCCGCGACCCGCTCGAGTCCCACCTGCGCATCCCTAACGCATCCAAATGGCCGAAACCATCTTGCATCATTTCCGACAACCTCCAACATTGGACAGCAGATGTCGCCCTCTCGCTAAACATTCCCCGTATCATCTTCCACGGCCCGTCCTGCATTTACATGTCCTGTCAACGTTTTATCGATCAAAACAGAGCTGAGCTTCAGTCGGCGATCGAGGCAGCGTCCGGCGAGCCTGTCATAATTCGCGGCCTTCCGCATCCCATTCAAGTCAGCAAGCACGAGGTGATGGCTGCGTGGCGCTCGGATCCTGGATGGTCAAAATTCGTAGAAACTGTTCAGCTGGTAGAAGAATCTGCTGCTGGAGTGGTTGTTAACAGTTTCACTGAGCTGGAGCCATGGTACTTTGAAAGGTATCGCGAGATGATGGGGAAGGGGAAGCCAATATGGCCCGTCGGTCCTCTCTCGCTTTATAACAAAGAGATCGATGCCAAGGAGACGCGTGGGCGGGCTTCATCTGTTGACACCAATGTCCTGCTCCGGTGGCTAGACGAGCAGGAGAACGGGTCGGTTGTGCTCGTTAGCTTCGGGAGCATTGCCCGCGATACGATGGATCAGTTGGTGGAGTTAGGACAAGGATTGGAAGCGACCGGCCGGCCGTTTATTTGGGTGGTGAAGTGGGCAGAGGAGATGCAGGGGATGAATGAATGGCTGACGGAGTTGGAGAAGAGGGTGGAGGGGAGGGGGATGGTGATAAGGGGTTGGGCGCCGCAGACTGTGATATTGGAGCACGCGGCGGTGGGGGGTTTTGTGACGCATTGCGGGTGGAATTCGACGCTGGAGGCGGTGGCGGCGGGGGTGGTTATGGTGACTTGGCCGCACTTCGCTGACCAGTTTTTGAACGAGAGATTGGTGGTGGATGTGCTCAAGGTTGGGGTGGCGGTTGGGGTGAAGGAGCCGACGGTGTTGGGTTTAGAGAATAAGGAGGAGGAGGTGGTGCAGGTGGGGAGAGGGGAGGTTGAAAGGGCGGTGGAGATGTTGATGGGGGGTGGAGAGGAAGGTGAGGAGAGAAGGTTGAGGGCGAAGGAGCTGAGGGAGAAGGCGAAGATGGCGATGGAGAAAGGAGGGTCTTCGTGGGAGGGATTGGAAGATGTCATCAAATATGTGGCGGAGAGTGCAGAGAAAACGGGAAAGGGTGGGCATCCATTTTGAGGCTGGAAACGCATATGAGAATGAGGACAAAAGATATTTGTTAAATATTAATTGCTATTTGATTTCTTTAATTAAAAAATTGTATTTTGGTAATGTATCCGTTCTGTGGAAGTCTTTCCTCTTTGAAAGAAGATATATCGACTTGTTATTCCTCTTCACAAGCAGGGCTTCATAATTGCTTATATAATTTTCAGCAGTTATCTATAAGAAAGATGAATTACCTTTATTTATAACCATACGATAAAATGCTTGAGCAACTTGCTTGATTCTTGGCGCGTTCATGTTAGAACCCGGGATTTCTTTAATGACTTCGGTATCCTTATTTAATAAAAGAGATTATTTTAAGCATAAATATCGCACACTGCAAATAGGAATGCATTACATGCATTTTTTTTTTTTCATTTCCATTCTCCAAACCTTATAGAGAGAGAAAGTTGGATTTGGGGTTGGAGAGACTGTCTAGCTTTAAGTAGGCTAATGTTAACCTACTTCATATTTCAATTACGTAAAGTTTTGATATTTTATTTGCCAAAATTTTATATAAAATCATATCTATGATGATTTACAAATTTTTCACCCCACAATTTTCTATATGTCGTAGACTAAACTATGTTGAACAAATCGACGTAAAAATATTTATCTTTTGATGGGTATTTGTTGCAAACTATACCACTAGTTGTTGTAGTATATATATATATATAAAATAGGAGAACGATCTTTGACGAAGCAAAAAATATAACGAGAAAAATTACACCATAAAAGAACACACAGATTTACGTGGTTTAACAAATTGCTTACGTCCATGGAGTTGCAGAGGATTTTAAAACTTGAGGAATTTACGTCAGTCGATCACCTCAACTTTACAAGAGGAATCTCTCACTCTCACTTTATTGTTCTCTCTTCTTCTCTCTCTACACCGATATACACCGAAGAAACTCTACACGATGATACACCGAAGAATATATATTTACAAGAGAAATAAACTCAATTTCTCTTTAGCCACAAGTCAGCGTGAAGAAGTCAAGGGAGAACAATCTTCTTCTTATTCCTTAACTGCAATGAACTATTGTTTGCACTTTTCTTCCTTCTATCCTGAGGAAGCCCGAAGAAGAACATCAACCGTGACTTAGAAACTTAAAGGAGATCCATCCGAAACCTTCTATCGCGAGCAGGAGGAGAGGCGTGACGATTCACAAACTTCAGAGGGAGTTGACCAGAGGAGTTTTTGAAACTACTGGGTAGCGGTCGCGACCTTTCGCTATTGGGAACATGAGGCAGAAGTGGGAAGCAGGAAGCGGGAAGCGACCGAGCGGGAGCGAGATTGGGCTTCTTCTACCGAACTAGGCTCCGGCATAACAAATCTCCCACTTGAAGACTGATACACCTGCTATAACGTCTTCTTCCTCAAACTAATATCCTCCATTGGTAGTGTCGTCATTTTCTTCCAACATAAATCCTCCACCTCTGCAACTCAAAGTCCTATCTTTACTCTAAAAGAACAATTGAAGCTGTGCACAACTTCAATTTCTCAAGAGTAACTCCCTCATCCAACATATCAGTAGGGTCCAAATAGCCTTGCACCTCCAAGCTATTTCCTGGATTACTCTTGTCCCTGCTTACAACTTTCACTGCACATGCAATATCCTGCCTTTGTTGAAAGTATTTTTTAACAAGTCTAGTCTTGTACCTCTTACTGTTATCAGACTCAGTCTTCACCTGGTACACCCACTTGTTGTGTAGTGTCATCTTCTATGGTGGAAGTTTTGCTAGCTTCCACTTGTTCGAACTTTCATTTTGCAAGATTTCCTCAAAGCTCTGTGGTTTTCCACCATATGTCTGTGGAACATTAGGAATGGGTGCCCCAAACCCACTATCCTCTTCACTTCCATCATCAACACAACTATGAACTGCCAGCAATAGTCCAGCAATAGTGCATCATATACTCATATACTTCTTCAGATATCATATTTGCACTATCATTCTCAATCTTCTTGAGATTCTTGGAGTTCCTCTTTATGTGATCAACCTTGCCAATATTCCAGCGGGTTGCCTGTTGACCAGACTTTGATTTTGATCTCACTCTATTTGAGTTCATGTCCTGTCATCTCCCTCTGAAATCAACATCCAGTGCTGAACTCGTACCTGAGATCTCGCCATAATTTTTCCTACGAACTTCCTCAGCCAAAATCAAATCACGAATATCATCACATTTTAATTTAGATTTACCTGCAGAACTACTAACTATCATCCTCATGGCTTTCCAACTATTTGACAACGATACCAATAATATCAACGCATGTATCTCATCATCAAAATCAATTTCAACAGATGACAATTGATTTGTGATAGTATTGAAATCATTCAGATGTTGAGCAACATAAACACCTTTCACAATCATCAAGTTGAATAACATCATCATCAAGTACACATTGTTATTCGCCGATGGCTTTTCATACATACCTGATAAAACTCCCATGAGATCTTCAGTCATCCTCTCCTTGACGATGTTGTGTGCAACGAACCTCGAAAGATAAATTGAATAACCACAAGAACTTGTCGATCCAACAAATTCCATTCAGCATCATCCATCATTTCAGGTATTTTCCCCAATAACGAAAGATGAAGTTTCTTCCCATAGAGGTGGTCTTCCATCTGCATTCTCCAATAACCAAAATCCATGCCATCAAAATTCTTGATTTCTGAAACCTTCACTTCAAGTGCAACCATCATTCTTCCTCAGATCTGAACAATTCTCTGATATCAGTTGTTGCGAACAATACCACTAGTTGTTGTAGTATATATATATATATAAAATAGATATATATATATATATATATATATAAATCAAACAAAACAACGATCTTTGACGAAGCAAAAAATAGAACGAGAAAAATCACACAAAAAAAAACACAGATTTACGTGGTTCGACAAATTGCCTACGTCCACGGAGTTGTAGAGGATTTTAATACTTGAGGAATTTACACCAGTCGATCACCTCGACTTGCAAGAGGAATCTCTCACTCTCACTTCGTTGCTCTCTCTTCTTCTCTCTCTACACCGAGATAAACCAAAGAAACTCTACACTGAGATACACCGAAGACGATAAACTTACAAGAGAAATAAAAAAAAATTTTCTTCAACCACAAGCCACCGAGAAGAAGCCGAGGGAGAACAATCTTCTTCTTCTTCTTTCTTTTTCCTTCACCGCAAAGGAACTACTACTTGCACTTTCCTTTCTTCTCTCCTGAGGAAGCCTGAAGAAGAACACCAACCGTGACTTAGAAACTTAAAGGAGAGCCATCTGAAACCTTTTATTGTGAACAGGAGGAGAGGCGCGGTGATTCACGAACTTCAACAGGAGTTGGCACGAGCAGTTTGCGGAACTGCTGGGTCGCTGTCGCGACCTTTCATGATCGAGAATAGGAGGCGGAAGCAGGAAGCAACCGAGCAGGAGCGGGTTTGGTCTTCTTTTATCGAACCGAGCTCCAACATAACAATATTTTGTGTTATCAACAGTTTATATATTTTGGCATGCATGTTAAACTTGATAAAATTTATTATAGAATAATAAATGATTGAAGTATTATTTCAAATATTTCATATCATTGGTTTTGCAAGCTACGATTGTCAATATGTGCATATTTATTTTTCCACAAATATTATTATTAATTACTAAATTTTTTAGACATGTTTTGATATTTAATAAATCAAAATTGTTAGTAATTGCACGCTTTTGTATCAAATATATGTGTCAACAATGATAAAAATGAAGGAATTGTAAGTGATTGTTGTTGGACGGCTATATGTTATGTGCGATTAAGCAATGTTATAAGAGTTTTTGCACATATGTTGAGTTTGACACGCTTGAAGGTGTAGCAAAATCTTAATGGGCCTGACACGTGAGTTAGCATAAGAAAACAAAACAGAGGACACATATTTCTTTAATGTGTCACTGTTTGAGACATATACATATATATAAAGGAGTTCCGAAGTGGCCAGTTGCCGAATTGCCTATTTGCCTAATTACCCAGCTGACGAATTGGCCAACTATAGAATTGCCCAGCTGTTGAATGATCAAAGTCTAACTGCCAAAGAGGTTGAACCGTCTAGCTGGAGAATGAGTCAAACTGTCAAACTGTTGAACAACCAATTTCAACTATATGATGAAATTTGACATAAAATTATTGGAGGTGATATAAAACTGCAACATGACATAATATGGCTGAACATTAAATACAACTGTTGGAAATGACATAAATTTATTTGATATGAGTTAATATTATATATCTTTATATATTTTTATACTAGGATAAGATGATACCGATGGCTTATAAATAAAGGTCCAATAACAAAAAATGAAATGAAGGACTCTCCGTCTCCCTTCCCACAGCTTTTGCTCAATTCTAATAGGATTTAGGTATAATCCAAAGGTATTATTGGACTCTATCTCATAAAAGGATTCAATATTCTAAAACATGAGACGAGCGTGAATGTATGCTTTGAATTTGAGGTCACAAAAAAAAAATTCTTCAGAGGGACAACATAGAACACATTAGAGGAAATTTCAACAAATGAGATAAGATATTTTATTCTTATATCGTTCATTTTTTGCATCTTTTAAACTCTACTATCTTTAATTTGGTATATATGTTTTTTTATTAATGATTTCATTTTTTATATCAACAAGCTTGTCCGTTATGAGCAAGTTTCAAAAGAAGAAAAAAAATCGTTCAATTTTTTAGACCCTTCCCAGCTCAATAACGAAATGTTGAAGATGTCTTTGGAGAAACTCTTTCTAAAATATAACTTGATTGAATAAATGATGACGTCAATTAACATAGGGATTAAAGACCATTAGATATCACACTTGATAAAATGAAAAAAAAATATGATGACTACTCACTATAAGTGTAGCAGAATTGCTCCCAGGAGAAAGATAGTCTGAACTTAACGAAACTATATTACCTCATTTATAACTGACTTATATTATAATGAAACAATACATTTGGTCGCACAAAAAAATGATAAAATTTTTTCTTATCGATAATATTAAAAAGGATAGTCCATCGAGTAAATTTTACACTATATGAAGGCGAGCCTTAATGCTCCCATGATGAAATCCTGTAGGTGTAGCCAAAGTGCCCTTAGAATGATTCTTTGTAATAGTGTTGAGAGCCCCCATATTTATGTAAAATCAATACAAAATGACATACGCCTTTCATTTTTAAAACGAATCCATTTTTGGATAAATGAAATATCATTAGTCTTATAAAGACTAGTAATATGTAGTTTCATGTTTTTCATTCCCTTATTATTTTCACAAGTGTTTGTTAAAGAGATAAGAGAATAAAAAAAAATTAAATGCATGCACCTTAAAAAACCTTATGAGCTGCTCAACTGACAAATTACCGAGTTACTTAGCTGGCGTATTGTTAGAATATTGCCCAACCACCTAATTATCCAACTGGGAAATTATTGAATTATCCAACTGCCTAATTTCTCAACCGACAAAATTGCTCAGTTGTAGAATCACCTAATTACCAAGGTGATGAATTGTCCAACTGTAGAACTGCTAAGCCTCCGAATGATCGAACTGACAACTGACTTCCTGTCGAAGTGATTGAACTGTTAACTCATAAAACTGTCAAACTATTGAATTGTTAAATTCAACTATTTAGCGAGACATAATACAAAGCTACAGGATGTGACATATAATTACTATACATGATGTAAAATTTTTGAATATGAATTAAAAGTATGTATCTTCACATATTTTTATATTACGGTAAAATGATTAAATATGTGTCAAATATAAAAGTGAAAAAAAGGACTCTTTTTTCCCACAAGATGTTTGTATTTTTTTTCTTTTCTGTCACTTTTGCTCAATACTAGTAGAATTTGGGCATAATCCACACATATTACAACACCCCACATCTTATATATATATATATATATACACACACACACACACACATATATATATATATATATATATATTATATTTTTAATTTTTAACCAATTATTACTTGCAGCAAATGTTTCCGATAACTTACATATTAATTATAATAGGGGCTTTATTATCACAAAATAGCTATGAACATATCTTAGATGCAGGTTGCATACTATGGGCCTTTGTCCTCAAAATGAATGCAATTCAAATAACTCCTCACCCGCCCTGAACCGAACCGGACCACAGGACAGCCTATGACCGCATACCCCTCCGTCGCCTCGACCATCCGCCGCAACGCCAACAACCCTTCTCTCGCATGGCGCCTCTTCAAGCATCTCTCCTCCGCCTCCCCTTTCTCCGTTCTTTCCCCTTCCTCTATCTCCTCCATCTCCCGCATTCTCGCTCGCTTCCAAATGCTTCCCGAGCTCAAACAACTCCATGGCCTCCTCCTCCTTCACCCCTCACCCTCTACACCCTCTTCTCTTACTACTCTGGCACTCTCTTCCGCCTCATTCGGCCTCCTCGACCTCTCCGTCTCCTTCCTCCCTTCTCTTCGCTCCTTTTCTTCTCCCCCTCTCTCCTTCTACAACTCCCTCCTTCGCTCCTCCCTTCGTTTAAACCGCCATGACCTTGTCCAAGTCATCTATCGTGAACTAATTCTATCCGGTGGCGCACCGGATGTCCAAAGCCTAAACCTTTTGATGCTTTCACTAAGTAATTCTGGTCGATTGGATGATGCTATCCATGTGTTTGATAAAATGCCGCTGAAGGGGTGCCAGCCGAATGAGTTCAGTTTCGGGATTTTGATTCGTGCGTATTGTGGAGCAGGACGGGCTGAGCAGGCGTTGGAGGCGTTGAATCAAATGGGTTCTCATGGTTGCAGGTCGAATTTGGTGATTTATAATACCTTGATTGCTGGGTTTTGCAGGGAAGGGAAGGTGCTTGAGGCGGAGAAATTGGTGGAGAGGATGAGGATGGATGGTTTGTTTCCAAATGTGGTAACTTTCAATGCTAGGATTTCAGCTCTTTGTAAGGCTGGAATGGTTTATGACGCTCACAGGATCTTGAGGGATATGAAAGAGGAAGGTGGTGATGTGGGACTGCCAAGGCCAAATCAAATTAGCTATAATTTGGTGCTGGATGGTTTATGCAGGTTAGGATTGGTGGAGGAAGGTGAAATTTTGGTAGAAGAAATGAGAAAAGATGGGCTTTTTGTGAAGCTGGAGAGCTACAACATATGGTTGTCTGGTTTAGTGAGAAATGGGAGACTTTTGGAAGCTACGAAGGTTTTGGAAGGGATTGCAATGTGTGGTTTGGAACCTAATGTGTATTCCTATAATATTGTCATCGACGGGCTGTGCAAGCGGGGAATGGTTTCTTTTGCTAGATCAGTAATGGCTTTGATGAAAAGTAGAGGGATCATGCCAGACGTAGTGTCCTACAGTTCTTTGTTGCATGCATATTGTCTGAAAGGGATGGTGATAGCAGCCAACTGGATTCTGCATGAGATGGCAAGCAATGGGTGTTTTCCAAATTCTTTTACCTGCAACATCTTGCTGCAGAGTCTCTGGAAAGAGGGAAGAACATGGGAGGCAGAAATACTGCTGCAAAAGATGAATGAGAAAGGTTATGGTTTGGATATTGTGAGCTGCAATATAGTTATTGAGGGCTTATGTCAATGCGGACAGTTGGATAAGGCAATGGAGATTGTTAGTGGTATGTGGCTTCATGGAAGTGCAGCGCTTGGTGAAATTGGTAATGCATTCCTTGGTCTTGTTGATGACAGAAATGGCAGCATTAAATGTTTTCCAGATCTAATTACGTATTCAATATTGATAAACGGGCTGTGCAAGGCAGACCGCTTGGATGAAGCTAAGAAGAAGCTGCTTGAGATGTTGGGAAAGAATATCACTCCTGATGCCATAATTTTTGACACCTTTATCCATGCTTTTTGTAAGCGGGGGAAGATCTCCTCAGCTTTTAAGATTCTTAGGGACATGGAGAAGAAAGGCTGTCAACCAAGCACAAGAACCTACAACTTGCTGATTTGGGGCTTGGGAAGGAAAAGCCAAATCAGCGAAATACATGAATTATTTGATGAAATGTGTGAGAAAGGCGTTGCTCTGGATGCTATCACGTACAATAACCTGATGCAAGCTTTTTGTGACGGTGGAATGATTGGTAGAGCTGCTTCACTTTTAGATGAGATGATGAAGCGCGGAATCGTCCCTAAGTTAGCTTCTTTCAGCCTACTAATTAAAGCCTTCTGCAAGGCCGGTGAGTTTGATGCTGCTCGAAGTGCATTCAGAACTGGTATTGCCACCTGGGGTGAGAAGGAGGCTCTCTATAACTTGTTTTGTCATGAGTTTTGTAGATATGGGAAAGTGATGGATGCTAAGGAGTTATTTCAAACTGCCTTTCAGAAGGGCTTTGTTGTTGAGAACTTCTCATACAAATATCTTATTGAAAAACTCTGCAATGAAGACCTAGTGGATGATGCTCACAACTTGCTTGTTGCTATGATAAATAGAGGCTCTCTTTTAGATCCTGCTACATTCATGCCAGTGATTGATGCATTGGGTAAGGAAGGGAATAAAAATGATGCTGATAAACTTTCTGAACAAATGATGGACATGGTCGCCCGTCATGATGATGAATCATATAATAAAGTTTCAGAACGCCGAAGTAAAATGATTGAATCTAAATCTCACATTCGTGTGATGAACAGTTCGAAAGAAGATGATTGGCGCACTCTATTGCACAAGTAACATTCTTGCTTACTTTTTTCTGTACTTTCATTCTTCATCATAGGTTGTGACGGTAGTATTGGCATTTTGTTTGGGACTTCCTTACTTATAATAAATTAATGACTCTAAATTTATATTTGTTTTTAGAGATGATGGTAGTGGAATAGTTATGAAAGTTCTGAGGAAAGTGCAAAAGGGTTGGGGACAAGGAAGCATACCAACCACACGCAAACGTGATGTTGTACTCGATGATTGGGAAGGTGTTGGATGATCAAGTTTATTCAATCAATATCCAAGCCTTTTGAGGTTTTTCCTTATTCTTTGCATTATTTTATATTTTTTCTTTTACTTTAGTGAGGTGATAATTTTGTAAGGACATTTAGCTATGTTAATTTTTTTTTTTCTATTTCTTCTTATTGTATTCAATAATTTGCTATTGTTGTGAGAAACGACGACAATAAAACAAAAAATCGGATGGAGAAAAATTCGCAAAGCAGAGAGGCAGCGGAAACACAAATTTACGTGATTTGATAAATTGCTTACATCCACAGAGCTGCAAAGGATTTTATTAGCTTGAGAAATTACACCCATCGATCACCTCGAAGATTACAAGAAACAACTTTCTCTACACCTTCCTCTCTCTCACCTTCTCTCTCCTCTCCTTCTCTCTCACCACCTGTAAGTCACACACAAGAAGAAGAAAAACAAGGAGCAGTAACCTTCACATCAAGAGAGAAGCACACAGGTTTACGTGGTTCGACAAATTGTCTACGTCCACGGAGCTGCAGGAGATTTTATTAGCTTAAGGAATTACACCCGTCAATCACCTCGACGATTACAAAAAAAAACAATCTCTCTCTCTCTTCTCCCCCTCCTCTCTCTCTTCAAGAGAGACACCATTAAGAAGAAGAAACGACGGAGGGAAACCAAATCCTGAGAGAGATTACAAGGGGAGCTCGCATGTCTATTTATTAATTTCATCATGTCATTAAACCCATTAAGAAATTAATCAAATAATTAATGAAACTCATTAATTATTTTTTTCTCTTTTGTGAAAAATTATAGAACGAATCAAGAGCAATTAATTTAACAATTAACTTCGAGTATCAAATCTACTTTGCTGTCAAACATGATAAAATGTCAATTTGAACAGTGGATCAGTTTCTATATTCGCAACAAATCTCCCACTTGAAGACCGGGGCACTGGCTGCATCATCCACTACTTGAGTCGTTCTTTTCTTCAAACGTGATATCCTCCACCTCCACAACTCAAAGTCTCTGTCTTCAAGCTAGAAGACTAGCTGAAGGCGAGCACAACTTCAGCTTCTCAAGAGTAGCACCCTTAGTCGATATGTCAGCATCAACATAGCCTTGTTCCTCCAAGTTTTTTCCTGGGTTACTCATGTTTCTGTTTACAACTCTCACTGTATTGGCAATATCCTGTTCTGTTGAAAACTTTTTTTAAAAAGTTTAGTCTTGTACCTCTAACTGTCATCAAGCTCAGCCTTCACTTGGTACACCAATTGGTTCTGCAATGTCTTCTTCCTTGGCGGAAGTTCTGTCAACTCCCATGTCTGAATCCCTGACAGAGAATCTATTTTTTTCGGTCGCTTTTCCAGTAACGAAAGATGAAGTTCCTTCCCATAGAAGTAGTCATCTATCTGCATCATCTAGTAACCAAAATCTGTGCTATTAAACTTCTCGATCCCCGATGTCATCACATCATCTCCGACCATCGCTTTCCCTCAGATCCGAACCTGAGCTCTGATATTAGCTGTTGTGAAAACAACGACAATAAAACGAAAAATCAGATCGATAAAAATTCACAAAACAAAAAGACAACAGAAATACACAGATTTACGTGGTTAGACAAATCTGCTTTCGCGGAGCTATAGAGGATTTTATTAGCTTGATGAATTACACCAGTCAATCATCTCGACGATTACAAGAAAAAAACTCTCTTCCTTCCTCCCCCTCAACTTCTCTCTCATCTCCTTCTTCTCTCTTACTACCCGTAAGTCACAGACAAGAAGAAGAAAACAAGGAGCAATAACATTCACAACAAGAAGGAAGCACACAGATTTACGTGCTTTTGCAAATTATTTGCGTCCACGGAGCTGCAGATGATTTTATTAGCTTGAGGAATTACACCTGTCGATAGGGGTGTAAACGAGCCGAACACGAGCGAGCCAAGCTCAGCTCGTGTTCGGCTCG